TGCTCATCTGACACTGAAACGGCAGTGTAGAGCATGCTGATGCTCATCAGACACTGAAACAGCACAGTGTAGAGCATACTGATGCTCATCAGACACTGAAACAGCACTGTGTAGAGCATGCTGATGCTCATCTGACACTGAAACAGCAGTGTAGAGCATGCTGATGCTCATCAGATACTGAATCAGCACAGTGTAGAGCATGCTGATGCGACTCAGACACTGAAACAGCACTGTGTAGAGCATCCTGATGCTCATCTGACACTGAAACAGCACTGTGTAGCGCATGCTGAAGCTCATCAGACACTGAAACAGCAATGTGTAGAGCATGCTGATGCTCATCAGACACTGAAACATCACAGTGTAGAGTATGCTGATGCTCATCTGACACTGAAACATCACAGTGTAGAGTATGCTGATGCTCATCTGACACTGAAACAGCACTGTGTAGAGCATGCTGATGCTCATCAGACACTGAAACATCACAGTGTAGAGTATGCTGATGCTCATCTGACACTGAAACAGCACTGTGTAGAGCATGCTGATGCTCATCAGACACTGAAACATCACAGTGTAGAGTATGCTGATGCTCATCTGACACTGAAACATCACAGTGTAGAGTATGCTGATGCTCATCTGACACTGAAACAGCACTGTGTAGAGCATGCTGATGCTCATCAGACACTGAAACATCACAGTGTAGAGTATGCTGATGCTCATCTGACACTGAAACAGCACTGTGTAGAGCATGCTGATGCTCATCTGACACTGAAACATCACAGTGTAGAGTATGCTGATGCTCATCTGACACTGAAACAGCACTGTGTAGAGCATGCTGATGCTCATCTGACACTGAAACATCACAGTGTAGAGTATGCTGATGCTCATCTGACACTGAAACAGCACAGTGTAGAGCATGCTGATGCTCATCTGACACTGAAACAGCACAGTGTAGAGCATGCTGATGCTCATCAGACACTGAAACGGCACAATGTAGAGCATGCTGATGCTCAGTCAAACATGTTGTTAAGGCTAAGGACAACTGACATTATTGATCAGACAACAATTAATGTGCACTTGATACCATACAGGCTATTCCTGACTATCATTCCTGGCTGGTTTATCTCCAGAGGAACAGACAGTGGGACATCAAACAAATGGTAATAAAACAATGATTCTGATGATTTACCAGACACAACAGCTATTAAACAACAGCCTTGACAAAGGTGGGTCGTTACACCAACTCTATCATTACTGGGTGTACCGAGTTTACAGCTCGTACAAAGTGACGACCAGACCCATACACTACTCTCAGCTAAATTAAGCATTACTGGCCAATGGTCAATTAACCTGTTGGCAAGTTACCAGGTCATTCTATGGGAATGTTTCTATAACATAATTGACCAGGGGGATGTCTAGCAGGAGTTGATAATCCTGTGGCCACTCTTGATTAACTATAATAAGTATTAAGGCCTGGAAACACTATACATTCTGTGTAATAACACAGTGGTGATTAATGGATAGATATTACACATTATCTCACAAGTCATCAAATGATGCTCCTGGAAACTGTTTACCGACGTTGATATCTCTCTCATGTACATGTAACCATAGAGCCTGGAGCCATTTAGACTATTGATTTATAATATCCCTAAGATAAACTTATCCATCCCCTCAGATAGTCACCATCACTTAACTGTCCTCTAGGATAGTGACCAATACTTGTACCCTTGGATAGTGACTTCAACTTACCTGTCCCCATGGATAGTGACCACTACTTACCTGTCCTCTTGGATAGTGACCACTACATACCTGTCCTCATTGATAGTGACCACTACATACCTGTCCTCTTGGATAGTGACCACTATATACCTGTCCTCATTGGTAGTGACCACTACTTACCTGTCCTCTTGGATAGTGACCCCTACTTTCCTGTCCTCATTGATAGTGACCCCTACTTACCTGTCCTCATTGATAGTGACCACTACTTACCTGTCCTCATTGATAGTGACCACTACATACTTGTCCTCTTGGATAGTGACCCCTACTTACCTGTCCTCATTGATAGTGACCACTACTTACCTGTCCTCTTGGATAGTGACCACTACTTACTTGTCCCCTTGGATAGTGACCACTACTTACCTGTCCCCTTGTATAGGGACCACTACTTACCTTTCCCCTTGGATAGTGACCACTATCTACCTGTCCCCTTGGATAGTGACCAATACATACTTGTCCTCTTGGATAGTGACCCCTTCTTACCTGTCCTCTTGGATAGTGACCACTACATACTTGTCCTCTTAGATAGTGACCACTACTTACCTGTCCTCTTGGATAGTGACCACTACTTACCTGTTCCCTTAGATAGTGACCACTCCTTACCTGTCCCCTTGGATAGTGACCACTACTTACCTGTCCCCTTGGATAGTGACCACTACTTACCTGTCCTCTTGGATTGTGACCTCTATCTACTTGAACCTTAAGACTGTGTTGTCTACCTACCCGTCCCCGTGGTACTGGTCGTATATTGCCTCGACTGACTTTCCTGGGCCTAGTGCGTCCATCTTCTTCCATTAGTGTGTGCTCACAATCACTGAACCCGTCATTTGACCACTCCTCGTGGTCAGGGTAATCATCATCACTGTCGTTGTCAATATCAGGGGATCGATCTGTAAGAGTAATCAAGAATTTTTGTTTTTCAATAGAAAGGATGTACCTTCAATCGTATGTCAAATTCTGCAAAATTGTATGTCTCGCTGACCGCTTTGACCATCAACAGTGATGAAGTTGAAAATCAGATATAGAAATGTACCAACAAAGTCAGCTTCTATTTAATTGGTTGTAGCGTCTTACCAACATCAGAGGAGACGGCCTTCCTCTGGTCACTTTCTACATGGTCCACTGGTTGACTGGACACTGTCACCATGGTTAGTTTGGCCACAAGGACCGTGCTGTTTTCTTTGGCATCACTGAACAGATTCAGATCCTTATCTATTGATCTCTGTAGAACCTGAAAAACACACATAAACATTGATATAGTGATTTTGTAAAGTACACTATAAATGGATTGAAATATATATATATATATATGACCAATAAAATACTTTGAAATTGAATATGACCAAACATAGTAATGTCGAGCAATCCAAAGTCCCTCAACAGGTTTTGTTTGTTAGGGGTTGAACGTCTGGCTTGCGACATCTAAAGTCGGATGAAGACGGGCCCTCAATGGCTAATGGGTAACGTTACCAGGTAATACAAGGGAACTATGTTACTCTTTAATTTGTGCACAAGAACCATGCTTGTTATAATATTTTTAAGATACAATATTTTTTTATAGACTGAAGTATGATATTTAAACAACCATGTTAAATTGTGTTTCAAATATGATCAAGTCAAGAAGATATATGTCTGAAACAATTTTTTTCAATATTGGGGTCAAAAGTCAAAATATAGGTCAAAGTGACCTGTTTTTGGTATGGGAAGTTACAATATCTCAAAATGTACTGGCATACCAAAGGTTGCTCTAGGTGAAGTAGAACAGGAAACATGCTCTAGACATTCTAATATGTACACGGGGCAAATTAAAGTGATTGATTCTCGATGAGGGCTTATATTCATTCAGGAGAGTTTCAAACCGGTTTTCTGGAACAGCACATCTATCGTCGGCCTCGAAGAGCAGACCGGCCTGCTGTCTCAGTCAACAGTTGCTGGTACATGTAAGCCTTGATGTGCAGGCTACCTATGTGCTACATGAGACAGCTTAATTGTGTCCTTGTTTGACAGTCATCATACAGATGTCATTTTCTGTTACAAAATGTGTGTTCTTTCCAAAGTTAATGTAATAGTAAGCTTCACCCTACAACGAGTCTAATTTTGGTAGTTGGGTGGCGCAGTGGATAACGCACTCGCCTTACACCAAGGCGGCCGGGGTTTGATTCCTCGATCGGACGTGAAAAGGTACGAGGTCACCAGCCCGACCTTATGTGTTTTCTCCAGGTACTCCGGTTTCCTCCCACATTAATACCCCCTGCCCGCTTACATCCAGACTAACAAGAGTGATTAATATAAGTTACATGTAACTTGTTCCATAATTGTTGCAAAATAAATAAAGTTTGAATTTATTTTGAATGAGATTTTGCTCTTTTTAACATTCAGCAATAGCTGAACACTATTCCAGGATAATACCATTTGAGGAAAATATTTATAATACACCACTTTGAGACAATATCACAGTTTTTGTCCTGTGTATGGATGTTGTCGACCTTGGATGAAAGAGATGGATGACCATGAATTTGTTTACATACCTGTCCCATGTTAATCTGGCCCACTGCAAGAGTCTTGTAGCCCAGGATGGTTTTATTTTTGTACTTTTTCCGTCGTTGTAACATGACATGGAGTTTGTTTCCCTCGCGTTTCAGGAAATGTGGATACTGGAATGACAAAATTTCGATCTTAAGTAGTTCTGTTATTCATAATACATAGACGTACCACTACCAGTCACATATATTAGGCCACAAAAAACTTGCGAGAAAAAGAGAGTTTTAAGTTTATCTCAATAACAGGCCCATGAATATACATATTTAAGGAATACACTTCAAACTTTTCCCTTTTTAGCCTCATCCTTAAATGGACCAGACCCTACATTTTTCATAATAAAACTAGAAATAAGACAGAATGACATGAAAGTCACCCCATCATTCTGTATGATCATTTTCCGATAAATCATTGACCAAGCTACAACGGATATATTTCCACCTGTCAATCAAAATAGTAAACTATTACCAGGTGTAAATACATACATGCTGTTCAGGTAGCTATGGCAACACAGGGAATTAATAGGAAAGCATGTCGCAAATATAACGTTAGCGTTGACCGACAAATCGAATATGGGGAGATCTGCGTGCTGACACGGTCACCTGGCATGAGCAGAACAGGTAATTGGAATATAACAATGCTGTTTTCACAACAATAAGTTTCAGAAAAGATTCAATCTTATATACGGATAAATCTTCTACTATTTTTTGTTATGAAATACACTTTTCCAAGTAGTTTTCTGATCGTCTGCAAATCCGACTGAATTGGTCATCGAAATCGGCAGAATGTGTACTGTACGCTTAAAGGCAGTCAACAATTGTGATATCAGCAAATCTCCTTCGAAAAGAAAAGATTGGAATGTATTTGGCTGTTTTGAACCCGTTGATATTTAATTTTCAAACTCAAACTTTTATCATTATCGGTTCAATTCGCATGGATGTCACTTTGTAAATTCCTGCCAGTTAATATTATCACACAACTTCGACTCTTTGGGGTACACAAACTTGCTAACTTCGCCACTTTACCCGTGTCGTTTTGACACAAATTCCAACGGACAAGATTGAAGAGTTCAGCAAGATTTTACCCAAGAATGACATTTTAACAACAGAGTAATAAATCCGATGCAATTCTTCGTTATGTTTCCCGATACGTGGTATTTATCAATTCACAAAGTAACGTCCTGAAAAGTTGAGCCTCCTTTACTCGAGTTTATTTATCCGATTCTATAGTATTATATGACTTAAACATGCAACTTTTCGTAATTGTTAAATTGGCAATGCAATCAGGGATTATTCAACGAAATTTAGCAGTTGTATTTCTGTTAGCATATATCAAAACATTTCCGAAAATCCTCGAAAAATTTACGAGAAATGGTCGCCACCAATGACTGGTTTTGGATTGTTCTTGAGTATCGTGTACACCCCTTTCTTGACACTTTATTTCCCCTTAAACAAGTGCGCACTATACGCAAATATTACCGGTAGTCTTTAGTCAGACATAAAATATCTAAATCAGTTAATAGCAATTTATAATACGACAGTTATATGTAATTCCTGTGGGGAATTTGGAACGCTTTTAGGTTTTTATGCTATTCCTGTTTAAAAAGGAAATTGATATCTGAGTTATCCAAGAGCTTATGATTAGCGCCTGGTATATTCCGACAAAAGCAAGATATACAACAGTCCTCCTAACAGAGGTCAAAATCTGGGACTGAAACCAAAGTTAAAAGTCCCTACTGGGGTTCCCCCAGGGGTGACTAAAAATCTTCTTGGTAGGGATGCTCCATACAAAATTTATCAAAACACCTTCAGAAAATTGTTGACAGGGACTAGGGACAATGTCCCATACAGCATTATAAGGTCACCGGCACTTTTTGGCAGAGATACTTGGACAATGTCCCATACAGCATTATAAGGTCACCGGCACTTTGTGACAGAGATACTTGGCAAATGTCCCATACAGCTTTACATTGTAACTGTGCGGTAGACAGACACAGACGATATAAGGTTACAGGCACTAACGAATGCTTGGTATACCAGTCATAATGTGAGTTGGGTTGTATATTTAGGCTGTAAAATGTATTATGTAGGCTTAGAAAGTTTGTGGAATATTAGCCATACAGGTTTCCCTTACTTAGGAATGTAGAGACGTCACAATTCACCGCGATGCACTTGTAGTGCAATAATTTATGTTGATTCGATTCATGATATATTTTTCCGGATTTTCGATATGTCACGATCTGAATATTAGTGTATGCCGCTTCAGCCGAAACGTCTGTGAGACGTTCAACATCATTGGCTGATCTCAAAATCCTCAGCCAATCAGCTGCGAGGATACAATTTTCACAAAATGGAGGACCGCAGTAAGGAAATTTGTGATGCTCCAGCAAGCTTCAAATCAAAACTGTGGAAACACTTCAGGTTCCCACGATCGACGGCTTATACATCTAATTTTGTTTACATTTTAAAATAAAGGTGTATCGAATCGAAATAATCGAATCGTGGTACAAATATTGAGATACATATCAAATCGTGGGTATAAGTGTATCTTGACAGCTCTACTAGAATGTAGGCTTAGAAAGTGTGTGGAATAGATAACTGGAACTACCAGGTAGACGGCTTAGAAAGTGTGTGGAATAGATAACTGGAACTACCAGGTAGACGGCTTAGTGTGTGGGATAGATAACTGGAACTACCAGGTAGAAGGCTTAGAAAGTGTGTGGAATAGATAACTGGAACTACCAGGTAGACGGCTTAGAAAGTGTGTGGAATAGATAACTGGAACTACCAGGTAGACGGCTTAGTGTGTGGGATAGATAACTGGAACTACCAGGTAGAAGGCTTAGAAAGTGTGTGGAATAGATAACTGGAACTACCAGGTAGACGGCTTAGAAAGTGTGTGGAATAGATAACTGGAACTACCAGGTAGACGGCTTAGTGTGTGGGATAGATAACTGGAACTACCAGGTAGAAGGCTTAGAAAGTGTGTGGAATAGATAACTGGAACTACCAGGTAGACGGCTTAGAAAGTGTGTGGAATAGATAACTGGAACTACCAGGTAGACGGCTTAGTGTGTGGGATAGATAACTGGAACTACCAGGTAGAAGGCTTAGTGTGTGGGATAGATAACTGGAACTACCAGGTAGAAGGCTTAGAAAGTGTGTGGGATAGATAACTGGAACTACCAGGTAGAAGGCTTAGAAAGTGTGTGGAATAGATAACTGGAACAACCAGGTGGACAGTATAGCCATGCAGGTTTTCCTTACTAGAATGTAGGGGAACATTGATTAATATAGGGATTGTTGTATCAGTCTACAGTACATCTGTGGTTATATCTATACCTCATTCATTTGTTAAGTTCATAATTGTTATCTTTTCTATACATCAAAATTTGTTATTGTGTGTCTTTTCTATACATCAAAATTTGTTATTGTATGTAATTGCTGACTTGTTTGGCTTTTTTGAAAGACGTCATACAACAATGCAGTCTTACGCCATAGGGTTGTCCTTGACCCATGCATATGTCTATCAATATACACTAAATCTGATGATACATGTATTGGATTGAAGTCTTTGATAGACAGCTATATACATATATATGAGCCATGTTATAACTGTTTGGCTATGATTATATTGTAAATCATCATAATGGTTAAGTACATTAAATAGCTGAACTTTATCTTATTGTGGTGATCACTCTGCCATCACCACCTAAACAACCTAGGTGTAATAAGTAACTGACACATAACTGAGTTAGGTATTACATAAACCTTAATCAGTAAAACTTCTATAAACAACCTTGGTGTAATAAGTAACTGACACCTAACTGAGTTAGGTATTACACAAACCTTAATCAGTAAAACTTCTATAAACAACCTTGGTGTAATAAGTAACTGACACCTAACTGAGTTAGGTATT